CCCCAAAACCCCAAAACCCCATAAGTCAAAATATTTTAATTTAATTTTAAATGTAAAAATTTAATGATTAATTCATATTCGTTATAAAAAGATTAATCTTAAAATGTAAGGATTTATTATCCTGATAAATTATTAATCATTTAAATTGAATAATTTTGAGCCAAATTAGTACTCACTCCCTGGAGAGAGAATGAATGGCGGAATTAAGAAGAAACGAATTCATGTCAGAAAACCATATTCATAGAGTCATCTATCCTTGTCAGAGATAATTTTGCGCTCAAGAAAAGTTGGAAATCAAAGTAAATTTTGCACTAAGGGGATTTTTTTGTACTATTAAACATCTCTCAAAAACTCATTAAGATTGAGATGCAGTTAATACACATCCTTCGATTTCAAAGATGGCTTTCTACAAGATCAACAAATTCATCACCTTGTCAAATCATATTAAGCAGACCAAACTCACACTAGCAGATCACTTGAGCTTAAGAGCACAAATAGATTCAAAAACCAAAGATGATACTGCAAGTCAAGTACCTCAACCATTGCAAACTAATAATTTATCTAATATTAATGTTCATCTTCCCAACAAATAATCTAAAATCTCTCTATAAAGGATATATATTCTGATCAACGAAAAGAAGAGCATTTAGTATCCTAATTTGAAGAAATGGTTTTAAGATTAAAAGCAGCTAAATGATAAGATATTCTGTAAAAAAGCCCAAATTTGAATCTTAACTTGAATTTGAAATTTAAATACTTTAAAGTTCTAACTTTGAATGCCTAATCTTGCCAGAAAGATAAAAAAAGGAACCTAATAATAAATCTAATTAGTAATGAATGGAATAAACCAGATATAATTAGACTTTCCTAAACAAAATTAATCTCTATGTTTAAGTTATGTAATACCCAATAATAAAACAAAATTCTATAGATGTGGGGGTGCTTAATCATCCTGCACATCGTCTAGATCAGTAAAAAATTTGAAAGTTGTTAATGAATATATAACATGGGCTACCGCCCTCTACTTCAGATGTTCCATCAACTATATCACTTGCTACATTCCACCAAGGAACAATGAGTCTTCTTCTCAGTTAATCAATCATCTTGATAGGAAATTTAGATAAATACAAGAAAAAGAAGCGAATTCGAAAATCAATGTAATGAGCGATTTCAGCAGAGATCATATTATAAAAGTGCAGAAGATTATGGCTCAATATAATTTGATTCCAATCATACAAGATTAACAAAAAAATATAGCTGGAAATAGACTAGATTAGATATTTTCCAATATTCCAGTTGAAGATTTTCAGATATTAAAAACAGAAGTATCTGACGATGATACCCTTTTAGTAACTCTAAAACTTCTATTAAAAGCTAATGGAATAGACATGAATAATTTGGAAACCTTTCAGACTTAGCAAGTTGTAAGATTTTATCTAAAAATCCATAAAGCAAGATACCCTCTGCGCTTAGAAATTGAGGGATAGTTAATTAAAAGAGAAAAAGTATCAAGAAGATATACAGCACCACCAAAGTGGTTTAATATAATAGGAATATATTTAAAAACCAGAACGATAATTATCCTGGAAAAAGTTTATTAAAAAGTGGTAATTGCAAGGAAGAATGGTGAGATAGAGTCTTTCATTTATCTAATAAAAAGTCACTTAAATCAAAAGAAAGGTGTGTCGATAAGGGAATTATAAAAATTAGGAATATATTTACTTAAAGACTGAAATAGAATAAGATTTAAATGCTTTCTACTAAACCCTCTATAATTAAAACTCAATGGAAGTTGCCGAATAATTTGATTAAAATAGTGATGCAAATTTTCACATAGAACAGGATGATATTCTAGAAGCCACTTCATAATGCAACTTCTAGAAAAGCATGGGTGATGATTATTTTGATGGGTCCATTATACAAGATCTAGAGATTAAAAATTTTGAATGAAGATGAAGCTACCATATTACCTGGAAAATGTAAAGCTACTCCTCCTATCGAAAAATGATAAGGAGGTAGCAGAAGTCCATTATAAAAGACCATACGATATATTCTCACACATTACTAAAATTATTAAGAAGACCATAATGATAAAACTGAAGTAACAATCTATTGGTATCTTCTAAACTCCTTCATACTAAGCATGCTCTAAAGAAGGTTCAATGAAATTTAGCAACATCGCGAATACTATAAATAAATATTGGAAACTCGAAGGAATAGATAGAAAATAAAGCTTACATATTCATTGAATTTAAAAATGTCTACGATGCAGTAAACAGAGGAAAGCTTTTTAAATTACAATAGAATCGTTGTTAAACTTCTCTAGAAAAAATCATTTGGAATACTTAAGAAACGATTTAAAATATGTCTGCCAGAAAATTTAGGTTAATTCAGGTGAGACTAAAGGAAGAGTTACCAGCCCATTCCTGTTTAATCTTTATCTAGATTTTACCCTAGAAGCAATCAGACTCTAGAGAATGCAATTCAACGAGAAAAGCTATTAGCATTTGAAGATGATGTCCTCTTCATTACTAACAATATAAGTCACTCAAAATAGGTTATCAATGCTATTGAAGGCCTCAAATTTGAATTCAACCCAATTATTAATAAGGAAAAATTGGCTTTCCACTTTGACCATAGAGTTCAGAAGAAATATCTGAGATAAAAAATAGGTAAATAGGTAAAATACTTAGGCATAAAAATACTTCTCAATAAGAAAGATATAGTCATTAATATAAATAAAAGATTTACAAAAGTACCACTCAGCACTTACTTGTTTCAAGAATATCCACTAAAAATGTGGATGTTCGAACGAGTGTTTTCACAGCATACATCAGGAGACTTATGATATACTTTATGACCGCACTAGTAATAGCAGGGTAAATGAATGAGATCTCAATAACAAGATACGAAGCCATTTTAATGAAGAAGATTTATAGAATCCCCATGAATACCAAATCATCAGCCATCAATGTAGCATCGAATTGGTACGAGATACTCAAAAAACTTGTTATAGTAAGCAATAGGCATATTGAAAACTTATGAACTGAAAAATTTTAGATATCAACCACTGAGGAATCTTAATTTAAATAAAGATTTATGTGGAAAATAGAGTAATTTTCATGATTCTTGCAGTCTCTTAAAGGAGAACTGTGCTAGAATTCAAATTTTAGCATTAAAGTAACTAACATAAGGTAATAGTAATTAAGAATTATCTTGATAATTGCTCTTCACTATCTGGAATCGGTGAAAATCACTACATTCAACAACATCTTTAACAAAGATTAAAATACCCTTTCAGACTTATCCAATACATTAAGATCCAGAATATGACTTTTTATCATTGGCTGACTATAAGAAAATAAAAAATAGAATAATAAAGGCTATTTTAAAGACAACTGCTTGCTTTTAGAATAAAAAAATCAGAAAAAGAATGGCAAATTTAACGTTATTAAACAATAACAAAAATAAAAAGCCTCAAATCAGATATGCATCCGGAAATTTCAAAGCAAAAGGACTTCTTGATTAATAAGACAAAGTTTGGATATTGGAAAAATGGATCTTGGATTTTTTTAAAAAAACTTTTCGGCTGCTTAAATTGATGCATCATGACTTCTGTAATGAAAATGATAAGAATTCAATATAGTTTTAGAATCCAGTAACAAAATCTTTTGAGTGATGCTTTATATATTTTATAAAGATTTAGATTATACTGATCATTCCAAATAAATTTTGATTTTAATAAATCAATGAAAATATCTCTATCATGGGGTTTTGGGGTTTTGGGGG